GCGAGCGGCGCTCAGAGCGCGTCCATGAGCGCCAGCAGGTCGTCGCCCTTGGCCGCGCTGCCCGCGCGCGGCTCCGCCACCTCCAGCTCCCCCAGGATGCGGGCCAGCTCCTGCTGCCGCGCCGGCTCCTGGCTGGCCGCGATGCTGATCACGGCGTAGGGCGACTCGTGCGCGCCGGCCAGCGCCGCGTGCCTGCGTGGGGACAGCGGGGACAGAGCTGAGCGCGCGGCGGGACACGGCCCGGTCCCGACCGTACCGGCTCCGCGGGGCTCCGCGCACCCCTGCCCTGGGCAACCCGCCTGTCTCTACCTGGGAAATTATCTACTAATCCCCGTGTGCAGTCGTACTGCTGGCTTCGATTTCACCTGCTAGCTAGAGAGCACTGGGAGTACCTTTAGTTACGAATGGGAGTAAATATGTCCTGCAGAAATCAGCTAATGAAATGTCTCCTTACCCTCTTGCTCCCTGCTAGGAGGCGGCTGTGGTATTGAAGCCTGTTAGGCTTATCACCTCTCGTCAGTTAAGACACGGGCGGACGGGAGGGCTGAAGGGGTGTTGGCTACACGGGCGGACGGGAGGGCTGAAGGGGTGTTGGCTGCCTCAGGTGTGTGTGACAGGGCCCAAGCACAGAGCTGCACGGTGCCGCTCCACAGGCCGAGCGCTCCCGAGGACAGGAGCATCACGCGCGGAACACCAGGAATGCCAAGGGGGCTCCCTGCCGGGGGTCCCAACAGACCAAACCACAACCCCCCCAGCCAGCACAGCCCGGACATACTCTTCCTCCTCATCCGTTGTGAACAAATTTAGTCGAAAGCCTGTTTCATTGCCACCAGCTTCCTTGACCTCCAGGCCTCCTATCAGCCTCGCCAAGAAGTTCATTTCTTCTTTAGCAAGAGGATTAGGGGCTATATTCTCCTGTAGGGGGGGGAAAAAAAAAAAAAAAAAGTAGTGGGTTAATTGGCCAGATTAGCAGGAAACTAAGGACTGCAATACTGTTGTTCATGTCTCATGTTACATAAGTATTTTTCAAATTGATGCATATATGAAATGCATTTCTGTATTTTTAATGGTAGAGATAGCGCAAGTCATAATTACCAGTTACGCATTTAAAATGGTTTAATTTATACACCAAGAACAAAATTTTCCAGCAAAATCAAGCTGCTGAGAAATCTGTAAAAGCAGTTTCCTGTTTTCTGAAGAGATTAAGATAGGAAACAAGATTTCAGCTTGCCATTACATAAGCCTCTACGTAAGCTTCTTTAGGAAAATGTGTCTCTCTGCCAGCTCAAAAGGAATCTGGGAGAACGGGATGAGGCTTTTGCAGAAGTTATCCCGTAAGGGTAGACTGAAAAGATTGTTATTGCTTACTTGAGAAAGGAGGTGAATAAAGGGCAGGATTGCACAACTATGTAGCATGGAGATACGGAGATGGATGTAGGGGTTTCATTTAATGTCCGCATCCATGAAGAGACAGGGGAGGCAGAAGGTCAAATCTGATGAATGTGGTGAAACTACTTGCAGGAAATGCTAATGACCCATCCTGCCCAGACCAACTGTGGGATACAGTGACACCAGCTCCAGCCGATGGCAAGAGCTGAACGAGCCAGAGGAACAGAAGAGCACGGACCTTTTCATGGGACGCCAAGCTTTTGGATGATCCTGCCATGTGTGTCTCAACAGGCCGGCTAACGCTGTACCTGTGGGGGAAGCATATAGGGAAGAACACCCTGTTACCTGCACGCGACAGCAGAACAGCCTAGAGCAGCACAGCCTGCAAATACAGGCTCGCAATATTTTTCTGAAGACAAATAACTAAAATGAGAAGTTCTGATGCAGTTTTATGGAGTACTGGTGCATTGGACTGTGGAAGTGACAAAACTGTAAGAAAGAACACAGTCTCTTGCTCTGAGAGTGGAAAAGTAGGTCACATAAACAAAAAAGCATTCCTTGAATGCAGTTAAAATGAAACTGTATTTCAGAGAATACGCAGTAGTAGGTGAGAACAGCTGCAAGTCACCTCTACTGTAGACATGAATTAAACTTTGGTTCTTTCTTTATACACAATTTATTTATACATATCCATTGCTAGATATATTTAGTTTCAGGAAATCACTCTGTGAAGGAGTCAAGCTGGTAATAGTGAAAAAGGCATAAATAACTAAACAAGGCTGCTACTGTCCTTGTGGACAAACATACGATCATCACCATTTGCTTTCACGTTTCTGTGTAGGACAAAAATGACTTACATATTTGTTCCAAGTTTAAGGACTCTGTCTCCATAAAGATCAAAAGATCCTTCCCTTTGTGGCATGACATAATTTCCATCAGTGGTAAATTTAGTTCTTTTAACTTCATCTCCATTGTGATTAAACATCCTTAAAAACAAGTCATTGTTGAAACATATTTAGTGGTATATTTCAGTACTGACTCGCTTTGCCTGTTGTACAAGAAAGGGGAAAAAAATATTCTGCAAATTGATGGGAGCCTACTTTAAAGGATAAATAAGAGCTACATAATAAGGAATGACAAAAACATGCTTGATGTTTCTTTGCTGGGAGACTTAGTCCCAGATCCCATCCTATAAATAATATTTATTAGAGATTCAGATATCCAGGCATCGTGAGCGACAGTCTAAGCCTAAGTCCAAGTCCTGCTAGATATCTGTGACTGACTGCTCCTTTGTAAGCAGCCATGCAGGCAAGACACTGCAATCACATAAATAACGGTTCAAAAGTCACCTGATAAGTCCTGGAATTTCAGTACCCCATGGAACAGGGCCAGATATTGGCAGTACAAAGCGGCCATTGGAGTTTTGTACTTTATCCTTCAGAAAGATGGAGACCTGCAAAAGAATATTCCACCCACAAGAACATCAGTTCAGTATCTTCTGATCTGAGTTCTCCAAGTCTGACCTAGCAACTTTTGAAGATGAATATCAGAAGCACATGAAGACAACTGAAAAGCTAACTAACAAAACCAAGCTTACAGCACATATATATAACAATTCATTTTCTAGCTGCAGAATTAAACTTCCTTCTGTTCTTACCAACTAGTTATATTGGACTCTTACCCTTATATGCATGTCCTGAAAAAAAAGGAGGAGCGTTTGCCTGATGAGCTGAAATTCACCAGCAGAAAGAGGGGTGTATACCTAAAAAGAGGAGAAACATGATGAAGGTTTGGCAGGCGTGTTTAAGGTAGAAACAAGCGCACCAGAATGCTGCTGGCCTAAAATGATTTGTGTTTGTCAGGAGAAGAAGAAATAACGTTAAGGGGCACTGCTGGTCATTATCAGTAGTTATTACCAGTGACAAAGAGCCCAATTTAATTTGTGCTGAAGTCTGTGGAAACTTTGGTTGGGTTAAGCGGGCAATGTATTGATTCAAAATGGGTCACTAGGAAAATAACAATTGAGTTTTAGAGAGTTCCCTTTCCAAAAGCACTCTGGACACATTTCAAGGCTTCTCGTCACTTTTAAGAGTTTATGCAGCCAGCTCCATTTCACTCAAATACTCATATTCTTTGTCCTAAGAATTCAGCAGTTTCATTAGAAAATGCTGAGAGGACAATCTGTTTCCCTGCGCTTCAAAACAAAGGAAGAACACTTGGATTGTTCTGAGATTGAGACAAACTCCACTGAGGTGATATTTAGTTTCTAGAATGAACCTGAAAAAGAAAGTACTGAATACCAGAGGGCCGCACAGCTTAACTAAGAGTTCTTACTTCGATGAGCTGCCGGAACGTTTCGTCCACCTGGTTAAGGATGCTGGGGGCATCTCGAACAAAATCTCTGATAGCGTCCAGGTGGTTGAAGGTGACGAGCAGTATGTCCTTGGGCCGAGGGCACAGCAGGACTTGGTATTTGAAAGCCATAGTCATAAGGTCATAGAGCTGCAAAGTAACACAGGTGAAATTTTGGTCACACCACAACACGGATGGCAGCGTCACTTAGATTAATTTCATGTTAATGTAGAAAAGACCTTAGATACTGAATGCTTGCTGACCCTCTTAAAATGAAGTATTTAGATCCCGAAGCAGAACTACGGAGTTTTGAGTTCAGATACTGAAATACCTGCTGTCATGAACTTCCCTGTAGTTTCCTAAGCTTAGAACCACTTTTTACAGACAGAACAAATGGAAAAGTCTTACAAAAATTACAGCTAATTATCACAATCTAGAACTTGTAACAGCAGCAGTTAAGAAAATACAGCATAGTATATTATAGTCAGGACTAAAAAGTTTTCTGTTTACCTTATCCATGCTTGCCTGATTCAGCCTCATGATCGAAGCATGAGCTAGCCGGTCGTACACGGTTCTCAGAGCTTTCTTGGAATAGAGATCCTGTGGTTTAAACAGCTCTTCCATAAATTTTTTATTGAACATAGTTGTGATGATGTCATTCATAACTGTAAAGACAAAGAATCTGCTTATTTTATTTTCAGAAATAGGGCAATCATCTATTTCATTTCACACTGAGAACTTGGGACAATGACTGCTGTGGGGATTCACATGAAGTCTTAGCCGTGCAGACCACAGTAACAAAAGAAAAAAAAAAAAAAAAAAAAAAAGGAAGGGAAACCATCACTCTCGTTCCAGCATTTTCCAGCCTGTCCACTATTGGTCTAAGACAGCAGCACAATCTCTACTGGCTGTCCCCAGAAGCAGGACTGTTATTTGGATGGTAGGCAACAAACCCTCTTTTCCAATGGGAATAGCACTGTTTGGCTGCTGTGTTTTTACTGCTATGGCATTTCTCCCTTTTCAGCGCATTTTGTTTGTAGACTTCTCCAGTGTGCATCTATAAGAGCTTAAGTTCTGCTTCCCTTAACAACTGTTTTGCCTCAGCTCCAGATTTTTTACAAACTGCAGCTAGCTGACTCTCCCTCTTTTCAACCACTGACACGATGAGTCTACTTTTTTTTTCTCCTTTTAAACAGAAGCCTCTTGAATTATTTAAGGCTCCTTGAAGTATTTGTGTTAAAGAGATTAAGACTGACAAGTATTTAAGGACGCATTTCTATCACTGGGATCTGTGAAAGGCAACCCAGGGCTCTTACACAGCAACTTCTGAGGATACAAGAGCAGTTCAAAGGCTGACAACTCTACATAAACCTCCCTAATAGTCCTCGATTTTGTATATGGAAATTTGTTATGTGACTTATTCAAGAATATGTAAAGATCAGCAGTACTAAATAGGAGGGTTATGCTCTAGTTACCAAACTTTAGCAAAAATAAGAGAGCACTGCAGTGATTCCAGTAGTTGCAGCTTCCGAGCTTTTGTGCTGCATTTGATGTTTTCCCTGTTGAATACCTGATATGATCCACAGAGTTATCATAAACATTTCTCCACTGATGAAATACTGAGCAAGAACTTACAATGCACTTAACACAGATTATTGTACAAGGATGAATCTCCCTAAGCAGATGACTTTATTAAAATTCATAATGCTCAACTCATTTCAGTCCCTGAGCAGTGTGGATCCAATTATCCTAACTACAAATGGGGAAAAAAGAAAATAACACACATAAAAACCCCGCTCTTCCTTGCTTCTTTTCAAATGCACCCCCCATAAAACAATCTCGACTTGTTTTCAGTCTGAGGCACAATCCTCGCTTTTGCGGAGCTATACTGAACATTAATAAAGCAGACTAAGCAAACAGGAGTGGAGAAAACCAGATGCAACGTTTTAGTACATATTGCCTTTTTAATGTAATCAATTATGACAAAGAGATGAAATTTTGTCTTATACTGCTACTAAGCAAAATACCCTTCAGTTGTCCGATGATGACACAGTAAACAGATCTTAAGAGCATGGGTAATCCCTAAGGAAATACTTACACCATTCTAACAAGGGAAAATAACAAAGGGGTTAGCTCAGGGATGTGGCACGCCAAGCAACAGAGCATGGAAGGAATTTAGCAGAGAGGAGATTGATCAGTGGGAGTGGAGAGAAGGGATTCAAGCACATACAGTGCAATGGACAAAAGAGAGGCTAAGGACGTGGAGGTTCCTGCCTACGTGGGTCACGTCACTGCTGACGTTTGGGTCCCCTTCTAAACAGAACGGGGCTCGTGCACGGCCTGGGCCTGGGCACTTTGTGCCCTGCTCGTGCTGCTCAGATTACACTCATGGCAGCAGAGGGAACAGTAAAAGTCCAAAGCAGTTACACATTTAACTTGCAATTAAAAATAAAATACTTTCACGGAAAATATAAGCCCAAGTTTATTCCTAGCTGCTGACAGCCATAATTGCAATATACCCCGTCTGCAAAAAATACACAGACATTCGTACTGCACGCTCAGAACTAGCTACTCCTCAAGGTTTCACAGTCTCTCATTATATTTTTCATGCTTACTCTGTGTATTTCCTTTGTTACGTTAAATATTTAGTATAAAAAACAGTTCACAACAAAGCCAAAGGCAGGCGAAGCCTGATTTCCATGATTTTATCAGCAAGAGAATCATGAAGTTATTTAACAGTAAGATCGTGGCTTTTGGGGCAGTATTCAAACACAGGCCCATTCTCTCAAGAGAAACTCATCTGCCAACACGCAGTCTGCACGGTGTCTTTACTGTGTAAGTGTGGCAAGCTCCAGCATAGCACTGTTGACATTCAAGAAATATTCAAAACCTACAAAAGACCCTGGTTTTGAAAAATATGAATCATAACCCCCATCTCACTTAAAAGAGAGCTGCTCAAACAGACAGTATGTTGTACTTGTGTTCACCTAGCAGAAGTCCTGTGGTTGTTCAAGAGGTTTATTCCCCTCGTACAGCTGCTTATCCCACCTCTTTGCTAGAGGCTGCTGTTTCATAGGGAACACTAGAAAAAAAGGCTGGTTAGGAAGGGGCTGAGGTCTTAGCTCCAACCCTCCTGCAACACGAATTTAAGGCAGCATGCCGGAAGGACGACGTGGGGGCACCGGCTCCTTCGGGACCCCTCTGCTGCAAGGGTGGTGGCCGCTGGCAGAGAGATGGGCAAGCAGCTAGGACACCGATGCCTTAAAATTCCCTGGAGCTCATCTGCTAACCCCCCGAACGCTCTATTAGAAATACCCCTGCAGAAATGCAGCAGAAATGATAAGCCTGCTTGCATTTAGGCAAGAAAATAGCATCCACAGTGCTCCTTACATGATTATGTTTGTGTTCATTTGATGTTAGCACTATTTTGTCTAGAAAGACCACTCCGATAGTAAGTTTAACCTATTTGCATGTATTGTCTTAATTAAATATCAAAGAGGTCATTCTAGAAGCCACGTGATTTCCAAGTATTTTCTTTTTCTGAAGATCAAAAGCTACTAAAGTTAATTTCAAAGAGAAAACAGGTGAAAAATATTAACCATCTGTGCCGCTATCATTAGGAGGCTGCAGAATCAGCAGGTGTGTGTTCATGTACGGCAGACACGAGCCTCACGGTGTGCACGTATTTGCAGGTGTCTATTGCATGCAGCTAGAAGATTACAGTACCTCGTTTCCTGTCCACATCTGTCCATTCATCTACACGAAGCATATAAAACAAAAACATCGGTTCAAGAAGTAAGAACAATAGTTGCAAGGAGAATAAAAGAAATAAACTTAAAAAAAAAATTAACGGGCATTGTTTTTCTTATCAGCATTTAGTGCTCAATAAGAAATAACTGTTCTGTTATTTGACATCTTTCAATGAAAACATAAAAGATGAAACCCTGTCCCCAGTAGAAACAGCCAAATTTTTGAACAATTAAATGTATGTATGGATAAACAAGTACAGACCTAATCCTCCTGCAGAGAATTCCATACCGAGTTAACAGTACGCTGACTTTCATTACAGAATATTGAAGCTTTCTGAACTGAATTCCCCGTAACACGGCAGACAGCAGAAGAGTTTTTAAATGCAAAGCTGTTTTAATTTGCTAAAAAATGCTCAAAGTGCTAAACAGACAGTGCTCAGCTTTTAGGCTGGCTTTTATTTATATTTTTTTCTTATGAATGAAAGGAATCTGCTTTTAGATTGTTTTTTATGAAATGCTAGACAGATTTTTACTCAAGTTGGGAAAAGGTCTCAGGAAGTACCTTTATTTTACTTGAAAACCCTCTTAATTGTGCAGGGCCTTTTTCCTTGCAGGCATTAAAACAAAACAGAAGATCAAGAAAGCCCTCGTGGCTGCAAAGAAGAAACACTGCTCTTCCTGCAGCGGTTCAGGGCCTGGATTGACATGGCAAATTTTGAGTTCCAAAAGCAGATTCTTGAAGCATCAACCCCTGAACCAAGTACAGAAACACTGAACTTTATTTTCTCCTGTACCGGTACACACTTTGCAAGTTACTGGGGTTTTTTCTTTCTTTCTTCCCCAGCTGCAGGCATCCGTTTAATCTTCTTGAATTAAGTTCACCAATGTTTAGCTTATCCAGCACAAAGATTTTCCAGAGGAGGTGACAGAGGTGACACCCTAGCGGTCCTTACTGAGGAAGCTGCGTGGAAGGTGCTTAACCCAAAAGGTTCTACCTCAGATTTACACCAAGAAAAGCCCGTAATCAACTCCTGCAATTCAGGCATTAGCTCTGATGAGGGAACTACTTGGCCAAGACCTTGACCAACGGGCTCTGGGGAGCTGCGTTCCCTTTGAAGTATCACTCCAACAACAGCACGGGAGCTGTATGAGGTACTTGATATTTGTTCCTCTGTCTCATGAGAGGATAATCACCAAACCGGGACCAGGTGTGCAGGAAGTCACGGTGTTTCAGCAAAGCCCGAAGTAACAGTGGAGATTTCCCCCTTGGAGGGGGAAATAAACGAGGTGAACAGAAGTTAACCTGCCCTTGGAGCAGCTCGGCCGCCACCCGCGCGGCTCCGGGGCTCGTCCCGGCCTGCTGCTCGGCGGCCGCTCCGGCGGCTGGCCCGGGAGCGGCGGGAGCAGGCCTGGCGGGGGCAGGCCTGGCGGGAGCGGGCCCCGCGCGATGCTCCCCCCGCGCTGCCGGGGCCGCCGCTCCGCCCGGCCTCCCCGCGGCGGCGGCGCCTGCGCCTCGGCCGCCCGGCGCGCTCCCGGTGCCGGTACCGCCTCACCTTTACGGGCTTTCTCGCCGGGGATGCTCTGCGCGCGCAGGCGCTGGTCCAGGATGTAGAGCATCTCGCCGCCCAGGTTGAGGAAGAGCAGCGGCAGCGTCCGCGACGACATGGCGGCGACGGCGGCACCGGGACAGCTGCACCGCCACCGGCGCCGTTGCCCAGCAACCGGCCGCGCCCGGCAGCCAATCGCGAGGCGCCGTCTTGGCGGGGCGGGGAGGGACGGGCATGGCCGCGCGCGCAAGCCCCGCCCCTGCGCGCCCGTGTGTACGAGAGCGGCTCGCGCATGCGCAGGCTCAAGGCGCACGTGCCCGAGGGTTGGGCATGCGCGCACACGGCACGCCGTGCACGGGCACCCTCCCCACGTGCACGCGCGCAAGTACACCCTGCATGTGCATGGGCACACGATGCACACGAGCACCCTGCACATGCCTGCACACCCCCTCACACACACACACACACACACAGAGTGCGTGCACAACCTGCGCGCACACACACACACAGTGCGTGTACAACCTGCGCACATACACGCGCGCACACACACACACCCCCTCGCACTGAGCGCACACAGCCGCACTGCACCCAGGACCGAGCTGCTCCGGGCAGCCGGGCTGCAGCCCGGCAGGGCGGCTCTGAGCTCTCACTCCCGCTTGCTCAGGATCCCTGCACGCTCGGCGGGTCGCACGTGAGCGTGCACACACAGCACATGAAGATGCACACACAGCACATCACTGTGCACACACAGCACGTGGCATTTTTTTTTTTTTTTGTCATTTATTCATTAAAGCACCATCTCCATCACCCGCACCCAGGGGCAGGGCGCCGCTACACCGCGGTGCCCTCGCTCTGCGGCGCCTGCTGCTCCTTCTCGGCCCGGGCCCTGGCCCTGGCCCGCCACTCCTGCCTCTGCTTTAGCCTCTCTGGCGCCTTCAGCTTCCGCACCTCCTGGAACACCTGCGGTGGGAGCAGGGCAAGGTGAGGGCAGGGAGCCTAGAGCGTGCCGCTCGCACCAGCCCCTTTCCTCGCTCTTCCCTCCTGGGCTGCCCTGCTTTTAGGGCACCATCCTCGGCTATTCTGTCCTGCCCAAGCCATGCTGCTGCCCCAGGTTTAGTGCGCTGCTAGTAAACACTAGTGCACCAATGACACTGTGCAGCTGTGCCTTTCCCCTTGGGATCGCTCCCTACCTTGAGGCACAAGGCCTTCTTGACGAGCCAGCGCTTGGTGATCCGTCTGGAGTAGGCAGGGGGCGAAGTGTACTGGATGTTCAGCTGTTTGCAGGTGTTCTCAAAAACATCGTAGCGGACGCGCCGAAGATACGCGAGGAGTTTCCTCCGCCGATCCACATCCATCAGCATGCGGCGGCGGTTGTTTTTATCCTGCAAGGGACTTAACACTCGCTAGATTGCACAGAAATTGTACTTGCATTCCAATAAGTTGCTTAAAACAAACCAGATCATGGCTAAAAAAAAAATCTCACTTGTCCATTGCTGGCAAAAGCTGCAATAACTAGAAGGAGGCTACTGCTTAAACTGTGCTTGACACAAAGTACATAATTCAGAAATGACAAAGAAGCACTATCTTTGTTAAGAATTTAAATATGAAAATAAGTATTAAAATGTGACTTGATACCTTGGGATGCTTCTGAAGATGTTCCTCGTAAGTGCGAATCTTGGCAGTCAACATAGCAACTATAAAGGATAGATATAAGAAGCTGTGTGAAAGCAGCAGCTTCCTGGTGGGACAGTGGCAGTCGCATTGCACTGCCCCCTTTGGGGACTGCTGTCCTTAGGGATGCCCACTGCACCACAACAAGTATTACTGCACAACTTCCTAAACAAATGCAAACCAAATCAAATATAAACTATAGAAATTCAAGTGAAAACTATTACTGTAAAGCTGCGTAGTTAGTGCTTAAAATTTTAACAACATACAGTATGAATTTACCCCTAGAATTCCTCTTGCCTGGCTTAATTTCCAGTGAGTTTACATGCACTTCTCTTCATTTAAGCTTTGCAGGAACAGGCACAACTTTCAGGTTTCTTTCTAGCTGCAGCAGCAGCAAGCTATATTTAATATTTTGGAGGGTAATTTCATGCTTTGGGAAATGGTGCTAGAGGCAGCCTGACAAACGGGAATCTTTGTTCCTGAGAAGGGAGTGCATCTGGGTCAGGGGGTAGCGGCTTCACTCCTGCCCCGTGCTTCAGCCAGGGCTGCCTGTGCCAGTCACCCCGCGCACTGTCTCTGCAGCGTTCCCAAACCCCGGGCACATCCCACAGCGCACACTGCAGGCTCCCGGCGGCTCTCCTGAAAGAGACCCTCCTAACTGGAACAAGACACTTCAAGCGATGGGGTGGGAAGAGCTAGACAAATCCAAAAGAAAGGTCACTTGTCGACAACTTCCTTCTGCTCCTCTGCTCACCTTGCACCTCAAAGGAGCCATTGTCGTTGGGAGACCTCCTGACCTTCTCCACTAGCTGCTGAGTCTTTATCTTCACCTTCTCCTTCTGTGGATAATAGAATAGAGCTAGTCACTTCTTCAGGACCGCTATGGGTATGAACATTTGCTGTCCAGTGTACTATTTTTCTCAAAAATGGGCCAACCACCAGCAGTAATATAAAATGGAGCTGCATTTCTGCCTGTGATTTTTTTAAAACATATTTGTCTTTCACTTTAATGTGTTATTAATATCATAAACGAGACTTCCTTTTATGATAAATGTTAAAAGCATGCAAGACTAAATACCATTATGTATTTGTCACTTTGTAGTCACTTAGCAACATTCATAAACAAAGTAAAAGAAGGGCATTTAACCATATGTAAGGCAAGTCTTACATAGTCGCTAAATCTTGCAGCTTTTAGGCAAGCAGAATGACACTGACCTGGCTAGCCATTTCCAGTGACAGCAGTCTTTTCACTACATCATCAACACTGCAGGGAGGTTGCAGATCAGTTTATAAGCATGAAAAAAAAAAGCATAATTAACAACAAAACTAAGATTAGATTGTTAGGTTTACAGAACAATTCTCACAGATATGCAAGGAACTTCATTTACTCTATCCTTTACCCTTTAAAACAGTCAGCCATAAGCTATTCCTTGTATTTCTAAGAAAAATCACACTTAAGATTACAGAAGCAGCAAACAGTTTTGCTCTTTTGGGAAGCAGAGCAGGAATTATTTAAAATCATGAAGTCTTAGCAGTTTCCAAAACAACATTATGTGCAAACTGGGTGCTGAAGATTAACCTTCACGTAAGTAGTCAAGGACATAATGACTAATTTCAAGACTTGCATTTTCAAAAATCTGTGAAAGTCTCATTTTTGCCACTTGGGGCTCTCCACGCACCACACATGAGCAGTTCTGGAAACCAGGACCTAAAAACACACAGCGTGTGGGTCCAAATTTCAGAAGTGGTTGTTCATTTTTGAGTGCTGAACTATACATGGTCTAGCATCCAATGTCAAGACAGGCATAAATTATTTCCACAGACTGTGATGTCCGCAGAAAACCTGGGCAGAGAGCACTTCTGAGAAATGGGCTCGATGTGCACTATGTTAGGTAAACAAAAGCCTAACACACCCGTAATCAGTGACTGCTTTTGTAAAATTGATATTCAAAGCAAGTTTGCAATTTGTTGCTAAACTGCACATCAGTAATCACAGAACATTAATTACGTATTAAGCAGTTACTGCATATTGTGGCAATATCTAACATACAAAGCTTGGAAGAGAACAGTCACTCCCTGCCCCTACCTCATACCTGTTTATTATCGGTACATTGGCGTAATCTTTCTTCAGCATTGTTGGAGGGAGATCATCTAAATGACTAGGGAAGTCTACAAAAAAAAAAAAAAAAAAAAAAAGATAAATATTTAAGAAACAGCAGTACTAAGTGAGAGCTCTGAGTCATGCTCACAAACTAGATCAGAGGAAACAAACAGCAAAGAAAACAGACTGGATGCTCCAAAGGATGAACTTAAGAGTTCAGTTGTAGGGTCAAACTGAGATAAATTCAGGTAATAAAACGCGGTCTAGCTTCTTGCCTTCAGTACTCTGCCTTTACAACACACTACAGAGTCTAGTGAGACCAGAACTGCTGAAGACAGCTGCTATTTGCCGTGTATTGAGGAACTGCTGGGTTTTCTGAATAACTTTTGAGCTTCCATGGAATTGTTTATAGATTCACAGAACTGCAGAAAGAGACCCTGCGAGCTCTAATCCAGCCTCCCCTTTGGAGCAGCACTGTCACCGTGCCCTCGTCCAGCCAAGCCTAGGCAGCATCTCCAAATACCCTCTTTTCCTGCTGCCTCAGGTGCAAACCCGAGCGAGCCATGGGTAAAACACTGGCAAGTGGCGGGTCGCCATCCAGACCTACCTTTCCTTCTCTTTCTTACAGGTCTGGCGTAACATCTTGCACTCTGCAGAAAGGGACTGGGAGCTTCATGGAAGAAGACGAAGATTTCTCAGGCTGTCCTGCTGCTCCAGCAGCCCTGCCTAAGGGAGCTCTGCCCGCACAGGCCACGCGAGCGGGTCCCGGGCCGGCGGGAGCCCCACGGGCAGGGCAGGCGCGCGGGGGCACCGGGCCCGGCCCCACGCGGGGCTCCGGACCCCGCTCTGCCCACACGGAGCCTCCTGGAAGGGCTCTCCCTGCATGGGGCAGCGTGTGGCTCCAAGCGCCCCGCACCCCGGTCACCTCTGGGGTGCCCACGGCCACCCCAGCTGAGCGGAGCATCCCCTGGGACCGGTGACACCCCGGAACCAGTGACACCCTGGGATCTGTGACACCCTGGGATGGGTGACACCCCGGGATGGGTGACACCCCGGGACCGGTGACACCCCGGGACTGGTGACACCCCAGGACCGGTGACACCCCTGGACTGGTGACACCCCAGGACCGGTGACACAGCATCACCCCACCCTGGGATCCACCCCGCACTCGGCTGCCAGGGAGGACCCCGGGCCCCCCTACACCAGCACATCCCCACTCCCCGCCGCGCTCCCAGGGCCCCCAGAGCCCCCTCGCCCCGGGGGCCCCCTGCCCCCCTGCCCGCAGCCCCTGTCCCCCGTTCCTGCCCCCCGGGCTCTTTCCCTCCCCTCGCCCCCGGGCCTGCTCCCCGCTCCAGCCGCCGCCTCCTCCCGGGCCGCCCCTGCTGGCCGCAGCCCCGCGGGCCCCGCGCTCACCCGCGGCGCACCGGGCGGCCGCCCAGGCCGCGGCCCCGGCCGCCCCGGGCAGGCCGCGCGCCAGCGCCGCGCGCAGCGCCAGCATGGCCGCGCCCCACCGCCCCGCCGACATGGGCGCCGCCATCTTGCCAGGCGGGCCGCACGAGCGCCGAGCGCGCGCACACCGGCGCCGCCGGCCGAGCGCATCGATGGGCGTGGGAGAGGGAGACGCACTTTTGGGGGGAATTTTGGAGAAATCGGCGTTTTCCCCTTGCCACGCACCCTGCCCCCCTGTAGAGCAGAGCCTGCGAGTGCCACCTGTGCCCTTCGTGCATGACCGGAAAACATTGGGCTTCAACATTAAAAGTTGGGCTTGGAAGTGTGGGCAGTGGCACGCTTGCACCGTGCAGCTGGGCAGGGACACGGGATGGGGAGCAGGACCCCCGGCCTGTCCCGGACCACCCTCCTGTGCCGCCACTTCCCATGAGCAGCGTGTGCACTTCCCAACGGGACATGCAGGCGAGGGCCGCTCATAGCTGTTTATTGTGCGCTCACGGGGAAGCAGAAATGCAGCGCGGGGCGGCGGGCGCGGGGCCCCCCGCGGCTACGGCCGCTGGCAGTCGTGCAGCTCGTCGGCACCGCCGAGCCGCAGCCCCTGCAGCAGCGGGAAGTGCAGCAGCGGCTCGCGCAGCGAGGCGGGCTCGGCGCGCCGCGCCGGCCGCACGTTCTGGTAGGGCAGCAGCGGCTGGCGGGGGCTGCCGCCGCGCGGGCACCGCGCCGGCCCGGCCCGCGGGTCGTCACCCAGCACCTGCACGTACTGCACGGGCTCGGCCGCGCGCGCCCCGGGCTGCTGCACGTAGCCCTGCGCCCGCTCCGGGGCCGCGCTCGGCGCCTCCGCCGCCTTCCCCGGCGCCCTCTCCAGCACCGTGACGGCAGAGATGGTGGCTGGGCCCGGATCCCTCGTGCCGGCCACCTGCGGAGGCTCCCGCAGGAGCAGCGCGGTGAGCGGCTCAGCCCGGCCCACAGCGCACAGCGCTCTCCGTGCAGCACACGAGGCTCTCCATGCTGCTCATGAGGCTCTCCATGCAGCACAGAGTGCTCTCCATGCAGCACAGGAAGCTCTCCATGCGGTGCACAAAGCTCCCCACGCGGCACACAGCTCTCCAGGCAGCACACGAGGCTCTCATGCAGCACACAGCTCTCCGTGCAGCACACAGCTCTCTCCTTGCAGTACACAAGGCTTTCCGTGTGGCACACTCAGCTCTCCATGCCGCACACGAGGCTCTCCGTGCCGCGGGTCTGTCAGCTCACCCGGTGCAGCTCGGCGGGCACCCACGTGCCCAGGCTGCTGTGCGCAGGGTCGGGCACGCTCGGCCACAGCTGCTTCTTCACCCTGGCCGTGCAGACAGGGGGGTCAAGGGCTGCAATGGGGTCCTGGGTGCCCCTGAAGCCCGCAGCTGCAGAGCCCCCCGTGCGGCCACTGCAGCCGTGCGAGGGGCTGGCAGCTGCGCTCACCGCCCGTTCTTCTGGAAGCAGATCATGAGCAGGATGAGCAGGATGAAGATGAGCGCCAGGCTCAGGAAGAGGAACTGGATTTCAATGTCATCTGCAAGGCAGGCAGGAGGCAGCTGCGTGTGCTGCCCGCGGGACACGGTGCCCGGCAGCCGCCCGCGCCCCCGGGGCCTCACCAAGCACTGTGGTGACCAGGATGAGGCTGGTGCCGTTGGTGCCGCCCGCCGCGGTCGAGGCCATGATGTGCACTTTGTACAGGGTCGAGGGCTTCAGGTTGCCCACGATGAAGGAGCTGTGGGCAGGGGGCACAAGGGCACCTGCAAAGACAGGGCCCTCAGGGAACGGGGCGGCGCTGCCCACGCTGCAGGGGACCGTGTCCCCACGAGCACAGCTGCACTCGGCTCCAGCGCGGGACAGGGCTGCAGCTGCACCCCTGGCTCCCCGGGACCCCTTGGTGTCCCCAGGGACCCCCGGGACCCCTTGGAACCCCAGAGACCCCCACGACCCCTTGGGTGTCCCGCTCGGTGCCCAGAGCCGTGCCCAGATCCACCTGCTCTCTGAGCAAGGGACACTCGTGCCGTGGTCCCCCCAGGCCAGCCCTGGGAGCTCGGGGAGCCGCGGGCGGGCAGCGCTCACTGGACACGTCCGCAGTGCTGTTGGCCCAGAAGATGGTGTAGCTGGTGATGAAGCCATTCTGCAGCTCCACGGGGATCGAGTCCCAGCACAGCTCGGCTTGGGACTTGCTGATGCTCTTCAGGTGGAGCTTCGGGGCGCGCGATGGGGCTGAGAGGGAGCAGAGTGATGGAAGCGGGACCTGTCATGAGGCTGGGGACAGGCTGGGCACCAGTGCAGGTCCCACATCGCAGCCGCCGCCAGCACCTACCCTTCTGCTTGGAGTAGGCTGCTATGTGGGCAGGCGCCCCGACGGCGTCCTCGTAGAGCGGGAACACCGAGACGTTGTACCGCTGGAAGGGCTCGATGCCATCTGCAGCGTGGGGCAGGAGCGGGAATGGGGTGCCCGGGGGTGTTGGGGGCCGTGCGCGGGGCCGTGGGCAGCGGGGCAGCCGCGCACTTACCGCGGATGAGGGCGCCGGTGGCGCCCGCGCCGCGCTGCCTCTGCCAGCAGGCACTGCAGAGGGCCGGCTCGGGCGGCACGCGCTGCCACTCCACCACGTAGCCGGCCACCGCGCCCGGCGGGCGCTCCCACTGCACCCGCAGGCTGCGCTCGCCGCTCGGCACGGCCCGGAGCCCGGCCAGGGGCTGCCCTGCGGCGGGGACCAGAGGCGCTGCCAGCACCAACCGCGGGCGGCGGGCGCAGACTGGGAGCATCCCGCCCACCAGAGCATCCTGCCGGGCTGCCCAGCAGAGCATTCTACCCAGAGAGTGTCCCACCAAACCACCCACTGGAGCATCCCGCCACACTGCCCGGCAGAGCATCCCACCAGCAGAGCATCCCGCCAGCGGAGCATCCCACCCAGCGGAGCTCCGTGGGTGCTCGCACGGCTGCGCTCACCCGTCTGCTCCAGCAGCACCACCTCGGTGGCGGCCGACTCGCCCGCCGCGTTGTAGGCCGTGAGATAGACCCTGGCGGTGCCCGCCGGGGCCGAGAAGCCGCACTGGGTGTCGCTGGTGTCGCACACGGTGAGGGGGCCGTGGCCGCGCTGCCGCGGGCTCAGTGCCACGCGGTAGCCCCGCAGCCTCCCGTTGGCTTCGCGCCACGACGGAGCCTGCGGGCGCACGGGAGGAACGGGGCGTGCGGGCGCTGCTGCCACGGGAGCCCCATGTGCGCCGCCCGCGCCCCGGTACCTTCCAGCGCAGCTGCACCTCGACGCGGCGCCCGGCGCCCACGCGCCGTGTGCTCCACCACGCGTCCAGCCTCGCTGCCGGCGCTGAGCGGGACAGAGCGCAGGGAAGACGGTGCCCCGGGCCATGCGACGCCGCAGCCCCCTGGCCCCGCACCCACCTTTCTCCTGCGTGGTGACCTCCTTGCCTGGGCTCCACTCGCTCCAGTAGGCGCCGGGCGAGGGCCGGCGGCAGCGCAGCTGGAAGCGGTACCGCGTGCCGCAGAGGAAGCCGCAGAGCCGCAGCGCCGGCTGCGCCGCCTCGCTGATGTTGGGCACCTGGGGCAGCGGGGCCGGCGTCAGCCCCGTGCTGCAGCGCCCGGCGGGGTGGCAGCGCGGTGCCGGACAGGCTGTGCGCGAGGGGACCCCGCAGTGCGGCGAGAGGCAGCGTTGCCAGTTGCAGGAGCAGCCGCGCGTCACCTCGGGGTGCTCTGGGGGCCGGGGAGCCCGCGGTGTGGCGGGGCGCGCGGGCCGAGCGCGGCTCACCAGCGCCCAGGCAGGCTCCTCGGGCGAGCGGTAGCGCAGCTCGCACTGCAGCTCCATGTGCGCGCTGCTCCGCGCCGCCCGCCAGCCCACGGACACGCAGTCGGGCTGCCCAGGCAGCGGCTCGATGCTCTGCAATGCCGGGGGCTCCAGCTTGGCTGCGGGGACAGCGGGGATGCTGTGGTGCCTCGCCAGCCCGCGGCCCCGCTCCACGCAGCGCCCCACAGAAACAGCCCCAAAACATTTTGCTGCTTTGGGGGCAGCCCTTCCCTGGTGGAGACCAGGACAAGCGCCTGGTCTGAGCGGTTCCTTTACAAATTGTTCCCAGGAACTGGGCTCGTTATTAGTGGACCCCGGTCTGTCATGATGTGCAACCACCCCGCACCGCTCGCCCTGCACCTCGGCTTTGCTGCCTGTTTGTCAGTGCCAGCCCTTCGCTACCGGAGCTGCTGTGTGGGCCAGCCCGGTGCCCTGCAGCCCAGGGCGCCATGGCCGCGCCGGCCCCGCTCACCCACGTCCATGGGGTCAATGCGGAGGCGCTCGGACTCGGCGGTGCCCAGGGCGTTGCGGGCGGACACCCAGATCTCCATGTGCCGGTAGAGCTGCAGCAGGCGCCGGGGCACGGTGCAGTGGTGGCGGCCGTCGCGCGGGCTGCAGCCTGTGAGCGCCGCGCCGGCCTCGCGCTGCGCACGGCTCCTGCGGGCACACGGGGGCTGGGGCGAGCGGGGCCGGCGCGCGGGGCGCCCCACGCTCGCCCGTGCCGCTTACGTGGCGCACTTGAGTGCGACGCTGGTGGGCAGGCTGTCGGCGCCGCGCGCCCACTGGCACGTGAGCCCGTAGTCGCTGAGGTTCAGCATGCAGCTCAGGTTGGAGGGCTTGGCCGGGGGGTCTGCGAGACGGGCCGTGTGAGCGCCGTGGGGCGCCCGTGCAGCCCATGCAGCCCATGCAGCCCATGCAGCCCATGCAGACCGTGCCGCCGCCGCGGGGCACTCACAGCCAGCCCGCAGCTCGGCCATGGCCACGCGCTGCCGCGTGCCGTTCCACTGCAGCAGGCACCACAGGCGGGCCTGGCTGCGGTTGAAGTGGGGCAGCGTGAGGTTGGAGAGCTCGGTGCCCGCCGGGCCATGCTGCTGCCGCCCGGCCAGGGGCTCGCTGTCCAGCAGCCAGGCGATGTGGATCTGGGCGCGCTGCAGCCCGCCGCAGCGCTCAGCGCGCACGGTGCACGACGCCGACACGGCCGATCCCAGCAGCACGATGGGCGAGTCCACGGAGAGCGAGGCGCAGCCCTGGCCCCCTGCGGGCAGCGGAGCGTGGGGCATCGTGGGCAGCCCCCTGGGGGTCCCCGCACGGGGCCGGGCCGGGCCGGGCACCCACTCACCATGCACAGAGAGCAGCAGGAGCAGCAGGAGCAGGTGCAGGAGGGAGGGCCCCGTGCCGCGCCTGGCCATGGCTGGCCCCCCGCCCGGGGCATCACCCGTGGCGCAGGCAGCCGCGGGGACCCGGGACGGGACGGGCTCCGCGCAGCGGCCGCGTTAGAGCCTCCTGGCCGCGGGGCCTCCTGCAAGCAAGCGGCCCCCCAGCTTGGCCTTGCTCCTGCAGCACTGGTGCATCCACCCGGAGCACGGGCACGGGGAGCTGTGCAGGGCGTCCCCTCCGCCCCACGTGTGCGCCAGGAGCACCGGCTGGCGGGGCTGCTGGCTGCGCTCCTGCACGCGGAGCCCCAGGCGGAGGCTGTGCTGATCGCGGCGCCTTCGGTGTCTGCCCGGGACAGATTTGCGGTTTTGGCGATGGCCGGAGCCGGGGCTGGGGTGGCAGAGTGCTCTGATAAGCAGAGATGAGGGAAGCACTGAAAGGAGGCGACGCGGCGGTCCTGCCCGCGCCCCTGCACTGCATCCCCTTCCACCTGCATCCCCAGCTGCTGCCGGGGACAGTGCCCGGCCACCCGTGCCACCTGCCCGGCCCCGGGGAGCTCAAAGCTGCCACATCCCCGCTGGGATCATAACTGCCACATCCCCGTGGGGTCACAGCTGCCATGTCCTCGTGGGGCACGTGCTCCCACCGGGGCTGCCGCGACGGCGCCCACCTCAAGGTCTCTCCTTGCCCTGGAAGGCACCCGGGTGCACACGAGCCCGGCACAGTAACGGGAAAGCGGCTGCTGTGTCCCTGCACCGACGTCCCCACACAGACCACGCCGGGCACCCTCGCGGACCCCGCTGCTGTCCCTACCTGCCCCTGCTCCGGCCGCGCTCACTGTCTGCCCGGGCGCTGCGCTCGCTGCCACGCTGCCTGCGCCGTTAGTTCCTCAAACCCAGCGCCGTTAATTGCTGCGACTCTGGAGAAGGTGATTGCAAAACACTTCCCTGCAGGCAGCGCCGGCAGGAAGGAGCGCGGGGCCACGCAGCACCCGCCGCCCACCCCTGCTGCCCGCAGCGCCCGCGCTGGGGCTGGGGGGACTGGGGCCGAAATGTAGGTGCTCTGGGCAGCTCCCGGCCCCAGTCACACAGGCCACGGGCCGGGAGGCTCCGTGACCCTGCAGGGGCTCCTGTGCAGGAGGCAGCAGCCCCAGGCCGGGGCCGGGCACCACGAGGAGCCGCAGGGGCAGCCACAGAGCCCGCGCAGCTGCCGGAATCACCTGCGCTCAGCACGGGCTGCTCCAAAGTCAGGGCCTCCGGGCGCTGGCAGCTCCTCGTGGGGCTGGAACGGGGCAAGTCTGACCCTGCGCTGGGTGGCACCGCATCCCCAGCTGGCTCCAGAGGGACGGAACCGGAGCATCCGGGTAAACAGGGCATTGCCCAACACGCGTGGCACTTGCAGCCTTTGCAACGCAGCTCGCCGTTGTGCAAACAGCTGTTTACTGCAGTGCACAGCACGCGTGCGGCAAGGCTTGCGGCAGCCACCCGCGTACCGGCCTGCGGCCGCAGGATACAGGAGGGTGGTGCCACGTCCCAGCACGGCGCTGCCGGGCACCGCGCGGGCATTGCCGCAAAGCAGGGGCGCAGTTACGGGAGCAGGAAGCCATGGGGACACCGTGGCCTGACGCGGCGGCTGCGCCCGCAGGCACAGGATGAGCGGCTCCGCTGCTGCGGCGAATCCATCCCGCCCGTCAGCGGCCACGGCCAGGGCAGGGTGAGCGGCGATGGGCCGGGGAGGAGGATCAGCGCCTGGCGCTGCCCAGCTCTGCTGCCGCTTGTCACAGCAGCCCCGCGGGGCAGCACCCAGCCCCGCCACAAGCTGGGGGGTTGCAGAGCCACCCCTGGACCCTGCAGCTCTGCGGCACGTCCAGCGCAGCCCTGGTGCCCAGCCCCTCGCCAGACCTGCAGCCAGCGCAGCCCTGGTGCCCAGCCCCTCGCCAGACCTGCAGCCGGTGCCCAGGCTCACCACAGGGCCCGCGAGCTCCCGGCCCCACAGGCTGCCCGGAACGGAGGTGCTGGGGCAGCTCCCGGGCACTCGGGACGGGGTCCCCATCCCCTCCTGGAGTCCCTGCCCCATGGTGCCCAGCCCCACTGTTCCCCGCCGGGGCTGGTTCCCACAGCCGCCGCTGGGCGGGATGGGCAGGGAGAAGTTGCCGTTGCAACATTTTCCTTGGGTGTAGCAACCCCCAGCATTTTAGCACGGAAATCTGCCTTCTTGCAGGCTGTTTACTGCCAAGAGCGGGAATACTCGCTCCGGTAGCTATGGCGACGTGGGCATCGCTGTGGGAACGGGCCAGAGGGAAGTTGAGCGCTGTAAACACCAAGCTGGACAGAAAACAAGTGCTGCCCTCCCCACACCCCTCGTCCTGGGGCATGGGGAGCCGCTGGGTCCTGGAGCTGGTGCCCCATGGCTGCACGGACAGGCTGTGCATCCCAGGGCACAAAGAGCAGACTCTGGGCACCGGGTACACAGTTTGGAGCGGGGCAAGTTCTTCGCGGGGCTGCCAGTCCCCATCCCGTGGCACAAGAGCCACCTCCACACAGCCGGACGCGGCGGCGGGCACCGGGAAAGGGGAAGCGGGGGCTGCGCGGGGCTTTTCCAGCCTTGCAGCCCGTGCCGGGCCCTGCGGGGCAGCAACACGAGCGCGGTGCCCACACGGCCACCACTGTCCCCTCGGGTTCAGGCCCCGCTGCGTGGCTAGGCAGCAGCTTTGGCTCCTGCCGACACCCAGCCCGGGGCCTGCGAGCCCCACGCTGCTGTTCCCCTGCTCCAATAAACACCCTTAGCAGCAACAGGAACAAAAATATCAGCTTTTATCGGATTAAAATGCTGTCTGGAGGTTATTTGCTTGCGGTCAATAGCTGCAAAACGAGGTTGCTAGCCCTGGCTGTTGGGCAGAGGAGCGGAGCGGCACTGCAGAAACATGCACGAGATCTCAGTGCTACCCTGGGGACACGCACGATGTCCCCGAGCCCCACGGGCGGTCACATGTGCAGGGAGCACGTGGCCAGGCAGGGCAGCACGGGGACACGCAGGGGCCCTGCCGCACGCAGGGGACACGCAGCACCCCAAAAGCGGCTGTTCCTGCTCTTTCTATCACGGTATCTGCAGCAGGGGTGGTGCCTTGGCTGCACGTCCTCGCCCATAGCCGTGGCCTCGGGCTCTGGCTGCTCCTGCGCGTCCCCCATCCCTGCTCACGTCCTCCCGCCGTTAGCTGCAATTTCCTTGAAAGCTGCCAGGCTTTGCTGGGGCCCCTCTGCAAATGAAGGGAGACAAAAACAAGCAGGTCTGCATTTATTCCACTGTAAATTAATGCACTCTTATTTTAAGGTATCAGTGAATGAGGCCAAGTTGTTAAGTGACAAAAGAAAAATGATTCTTGCCTTCCAGGGTTATTAAAATCATGTTCTACAATTTTAGCAGCCACAAGGAAGCCCAGATAATGACAGATGATGATAATACATCTCCGGCACAGCCTGGTCTATAATGATACTGCCCATATCTCTTGTATTACCACCAATTACTCAGCGAATAAGTATAATGAAAATGTACATCCATTCTGGGGAACTGCATTTGCTTCCCCCGAATCCAATTTCGGTCTCCTCCACCAGGCAGAGAGGCGGCTGCAGGACGGTTTGAGCAGCTCTGCTCCCACGGGGGCAGCTGCAGGGCCTGGCAGGGCTGGGCAGCAGCATTTCTCTATGGGGCTGGGGGGTGAAAAGCAAAAACCTCCCCAAATTGCTACTGCCAAAGCTCCTCCCTTGCTCCGCGATCCGCGCGCTGCAGCAGCTCCGTGGCTGCAGCGCAGACACCTTTAATCCTGCGCAGGCAGGACGGAGGTGCCAGCGAGGACGTGGCCACCGGGCTACAGGCCAGATCCCTCCCAGTGAGCCCCAAAACAGCCCTCCCCGTGCCAGATGAAGACGGCTATGCACTCCATCTGGGCTCTATTATCTTCCGGTTTACTCAGGTCAAGAAGCAGGAGACAACATCTTTAAAGACAAAAACATATTCTTTGGGAAAATTGAAGATATAGATCACTGTTGGGGCCGGGAGCAGGTGCATGTTTCCCTCTGCTGAGGTGTAGCCCATTCCCTGCTCCCCGTCTCCGGAGGGAGCGCAGATGCGGAGCCCTGCCGGGGTCCCGCGCTGCAGCAGGAGCGCGTGCACCAGTGGGTGCAGGGGCTGCAGCGCGCGGGGAGCACTGAACTCATTGCCAGAGGAAAGCCAGCCTAGAACGGGGCCGTGCTGCTCCGTCCTGCTGTTCCTTGGCACAGAGATGCAATACTAGCAGACTCTTTAAAACAAGCCTCCAGGTAGGAGAAATTGGCCCGTTACTTCATAATTTTAATGCCCATTCTTCTTCATAACTTTGTATAACACCTATGTGTGTTTAATCCATAATTAAAACCCTTCCTGCTCTAAGCTATTCCATTGCAGCATCCCAGTCACCTCCTGGGAGCAGACTGTACTTCACAGCTAAAGTTCGCATGAGTTATTAAAGAACATAGCTGCATCTATTAATTATTGCATTCCTATTAATGACCATTAACGGCTGGCATCCTGGCTTACCGTGTTCCCAGGGAGTCGGTATTTTAGAGGCTGGCGGCGGTGCCGACCCCCAAACCTCGTCCTCCAGCAGTGGCCGCGCGGAGGAGCCGGGGTGGCCGTCGGGGGGTCGCTCTCCTTGGGGATCGTGTCCTGCTTCCCAAGGCACCGAGTCCACAGCGGAGCTGGGATCCTGCCGGGTCGGCGGGGCTCTCGGTGGCCATCGCGGCAGTGCCGGGATTCTCCTGGTGCTGCTTCACCCACCGCAGGCAAAACTCCCGCCCCGGGGCAGGAGAGCTGGGGCCCCACAGCGGCGCTGGGCTTTTATTTATTTGTATTCCCAGGGGAAAAAATTGCTATGGCAACTTGTGCAACAGGTGAGCTCCTGGGAGACAGGCTCCGAGGGAAACTTGCCGCTCCTGGGCTGACGATGTTAATCTGCGGGATTTCCATAGCAATTATGGCAAGAGGCGATCTGCTCTTGGAG